AACACCCTGGTGCTATTTTGAAGAATCTCAGCTGGACGTAAACAACGTATGCTGTGTCACGCGGATATGTTGTTTTCATTCAAATCAAATCGCAAACAACATAGGAAACAGATCCGGCGTGATGCAGCTGACAGGGTTATATCCAGTTTTACAATTTTGTTGCAATGACAACATAAAGCCTCAAAGCTTAAACCAACTGTTAAAATGATTTATAAAACTTTACAGCTCAAATAATAGAAAGTTTAACAGAGGAATTCATATAAGAGCTTTTAAAATTATAACTTTCAAAGCAAAATTAAGATTATAACTTTACAAGCAAATACATATTATTTTATATAATTAAATATAAAAATTATTCTTTAATATATTTTATAAATATAGATATATTGATATCTTATATAACAGAAAATAATCATGAAAAGCTTCACATCTATGCTTTTAAATCCAAAAATTGGCCTCACTTCCTTTGTAAGTCTCTCACCGCATATTATTATTATTATTATTATATTATTATTATTATTTAAAAGATTAATGAATGAGATGATAGATAGATAGATAGATAGATAGATAGATAGATTATTGATCCAGTGTGTGAAATTGAGAGAGTTTGCCAGTTGAACAGTCAACTTTTTAAATAAATGAGTTTAAATATGTGTTTGAGATCAAAGGGATGTGTTGATGTGTAGATATCGATTTTCAGAAACAGGAAGATGATCTGTGTGTGTAACAGGAAAGCGTCTGGCGTGTTGTTGTGAATGTGTTTGAGCAGTCAGAGGTCAGATCCACACAAGCCGCTGGAATGAGTGCTATGAGGACAGAAGATGCTGCTGACGGGAAGAGCACAGCTAATGGAGGAGGAGTCGTGTGTCAGGAGGGAGGCGTCACCGTCCTCAGGTACACCAGACACTCGAGAGCGCTTCCTCTGAGAACATGCTTGAGTTGTGTTCAGTGCAGTGCTGTTATTAACAGAAACTAATGAAACTGGTTTCGTTAATTGAAATAGAGCGCAAATAAATCAAATTCTAAATATTAGATGAATAACTCATTTATATTATTATATAAAAATAAAAGCTAATTCAAAACACTGATAAATACTATACTAGTATATAAATAATACTAAAATAACAGTTTAGTTTCAGTGCTTGTTTCATTACCGAACCCTGAATGTTATCTGATCCCTACAGGCCTACAGATCTCTCAGAGATGTTGGCGGCAGGAACCAAAGAAGTTCACGAGAAGGCCGAAAACACCGAGTTTGTCAAAGACTTCCTGAGGGGACGCATCCGCAAAGAGCTCTTTAAGGCACATGGATTTTAAAGACCATTTAGAAATGCCATTCACAACACATTTCACTTTCATAATGTGGCAAATAATGTGCTGGGATCTGATTTATTACTTTATCATATTAAACTTAGGCATGTATTACTTTTGATGTATGTTTTTTGTCTGGCGGACGATAAACGAGCGGTGAAAATCCCTTATACTTATAATGATAGACTTGGAATAGTTAGCGTCCACATACCCAGGGTTATTATTGTTAGCTACAACTAAAATCAAAACTAAAAATGAAACAATAAAATAAAACATTTTCGTTACCTGAAATAAATGTGAACTAAAATAATAAATATAATATATTAAAATAAAGCAATAAGCCCCAAGAAGCCGTGGTTTACAGTGAATTTATAACAGCTAAGGGGCGTTGTTAGGCACGACGCGGAGCGGATTATTGCTTTTATAAAACGGTTATTCTATATATATAGTAAGGTTTCACAAAATAAAACAGAGCAAATAAAGTGTAATTATATTAAAAACAGTATTCTTCCACCAAACAATGTAGTTCCTCAGAAACAGTTGTGGTTGCAACAAAGTGGTTGCCAAGCAACAGACAAATGTAAACAAAGGTGTATGTAGAGTAATTTACAACAGCTTCGAACGCGGCTCAACCAATCAGAATCAAGGACCGGAACTATCCGTTTTATAAAATGTATTTTAAAACCTTTTTAATTATTATATTTTTATTATTTCATCTAGTTGGCAAGACATAATTTCTCATTTTCTTTTTTAATTTGAAGTACTAAAATAATTACAATTGAAACAAAACACATTTAAAAAAAAAAAAGTTAAATTAAAAACTGAAATTACCATGAATACAGGAAATAAATTGTAATAATATTATATTAATAACAATCAAAAAAATAATAGCATATCAATGATACTTAAATAACGTTTCACATATGTTACTATTATTTATATACTATTATAATATTTATAATTTTTAAAGTTAGCTTCTTTTTTATTATTTTAATTATAGTTTTTATTTTAAATTTAGTTTAAGGTTAAGTAATGTAATGTCATGTGTTTTTGTCATTTTATTATTTTTATTTGTTTTCTTGAAATATTTCTATTTAGCTTTAATTTTATTTCTTTTTTTTTTATTTAGGTTATTTGCCAAGGCAGCATTTTTCTTTTTCATCAAATATTTCTATTTTATTTAACTTTATTTCAACTAAACTAAAACAAAGACATCGGTTTAGTTTGACGTGATTGTGATCTCTTGATCTGTGTTTGTGTCGTCAGCTCGGTCACGTGGCTCTATACTTCACGTACTCGGCTATGGAAGAGGAGATGGAGAGAAACAAGGAGCATCCTGATTTGGCAGCGCTCTACTTCCCTCATGAGCTGCACCGGTGGGACGCTCTGGCTCGGGACCTGCAGTACTTCTACGGCGAGGACTGGCAGGACCAGATCAGCCTCTCTCCTGCCACTCAGCGCTACGTGGAGCGCATCCAGCAGATCGGCCGGGATCAGCCCGCGCTTCTGGTGGCTCACGCTTACACCCGCTACATGGGAGACCTCTCGGGCGGCCAGGTGCTGAGGAAGGTGGCCCAGCGCGCCATGAAGCTGCCACCCACAGGAGAAGGCCTGAACTTCTACCAGTTCGACGGCATCCACAGCGCCAAGGCCTTCAAACAGCTGTACCGCAGCCGGATGAACGAGCTGGAGCTGGACTCGCACACCAAGCAGAAGATCGTGGAGGAAGCTGTCCTGGCCTTCCAGTTCAACATGGAGGTGAGCGCTGCTGGAAGAAACACTAGTGTTTCAATTGCGATTGAAAGGGTTCATATTTTTTAGCATTTCCTTACAATGTGTAGTGAGTGTGTTTTTGCATCAAAAACATACTTTTGTTTAATTTAGTTGTTAGTGTAATTTAGTTTATTAAATAAATACCTAAAAACTGAATCAGTGATTTAGTTTATTAATTCAGTTTCGAAATTAAATATACATATATAAATATAATTATTTATTTATTAATATGTATATATAAAGTCACTGTTAAGGCCTGTTCACACCAAGAACGATAACTATAAAGCTAACGATAAAAATATTGTTTTAAAAATCATTCTCAATATTAAAGAACAGCAGAGTCCACACCACAACTATAACGATAAAGGCACAGAGAAATTATATCGTTGGAATCACTTCCAGAACGATTTTTTTCCAGCTGAAGAACGATACAAACTTTGACACCCAATCAGAATCCATCCTGCTGTAACGAGCTCGAGAATTTAAAGCGGCAGACGCATGTGCGCTTAGAATAAACAGACGATATCGTCCGCTGGTGTGGACGCTAATATCATTATCTTTATGGTTATCGTTCTTGATGTGAACGGGGCTTTAGAATGTATTCGTGATGTTTGATCAAAATGCTCACTTTTCTATTTTGAAATTAAATATACATATGTTAATTAATTAATTAGATAGACATGCAATGAAATAGACATATGCAAATTAATTAATTTAATAATTTTCTTTGTTTTAAATTTTACTTTTCTATTTTGAAATTAAATGGACATGTGTAAATATATAAATATAAACTCGTATATAAAATTATGTAAATGACTTTCATATTTTTAAATTGTATTGTTAAATTTATTTCAAAATTTTCATTTTCAGTTTTGAAATTTAAAAGACAATACATATAAATGTATTTATTTTATTATTTGTATATATATTTTTTTCAAACATTTACAGTGTATTGGTAATTTATATTTCTACGTTTTGTTTGTTTTTACCTACATTTTAAAGGGGTCATGTGATGCTGCTAAAAATAACATTATTTTGTGTATTTGGTGTAATGAAATGTGTTTATGCGGTTTAAGGTTAAAAAAACACATTATTTTCCACA